TCCAATCAAGCCTGGTGGCCGACTTGGATTGTCAGCTGTATGCTTTGATAGTGTGAAGAGAGGAACATCCAGAGGTACCTTCTAGCAACTGGTCTTCACTAAGTCCATGGCAGTCTAGAGTGGTGCGAAGCCAACCACTTGGCCAGGAAATCACTGTCACCAACTTCGTGGAGAAGCATTCCAAGGCACGCCTGCATGGGTAGATTCGGGTAATGATTTGGGTTTATCACAAAAATAATACATATCATATAATATATCTATATATAATACAATGAGTGTATATATATTTATTATATAATGCAAGAAATGTTCAATCCTACCATGTCAGTCAGTTCGCCGTAGTGACATGACGGTGCAGCTGCGGTTCCAGCTCTGCGGTTCCAGCTGCCGTGGCCTGACAGGATGTGGTCTCCGCTCGTCATGACGTGTTGGAGCTGCGAGAAGAACTTCAAGAGGCGCAGAGGGAGTTTGCGGCTGGATCAAGAGCGCCCAAAAGGATCTCCCTCTTAGACTCCTTACCTTTGGGGAGATGATTTGCAGAGAACCTATATTTTATACCATAGTGTATACCTCAGTATTGGGTCAATCGATTGAACCAGCTGCGATCTCCACTGTGGCATGAAGCGTTTGGATTTGAGCACTTGCGGACCTTTTAGCGCCAGGCGCTTCGTAACAAGCGCTTTGATCCGCTTTCCGCAGCTTGGCGCCTTTTAGCGATTGGCCCTTCGGAGCATCACCAGGGTTTATCGACGTGTGGGCAGCGCCTAGCTGCTAAAGCCTCAAGTTCATGGAGTGGGCACTTTTGGTCATGTTGGCAGCCCCAAACTTCCTCGAAGCGTGCGTGCTAAATCATCATAAATCATCATAAGTCATCATAAATCGTCATAAATCATCATGTGTGTGTGTATCTATTTGAATATGTTTTTGTCTGTCTATCTACCTACCTACCTAGCTTCTGGCTTCTTCACCTTTGGTCACTTCAGTTTCTTGTGAGCCCGGGTTCCGGGTCACTGTCAAGGCCGATGAGCTGCAACGCCTCGTGGATGGGCAGAGCAAGTTATGGGCTACGCTTGATCAGGCGGGGGTCGCTCTCCAGGTCGGTTCTCTCCGCTCTTCACTGAAGCAGCTGAAGCTGACCTGCACCGGCTGCGGTCCCGTTCACTGCCCACTGCACTGACCAGCTCCTAAGAGCTGCACTGCTTGTTGCTAATGGCAATGGCCTCCAACCTACTAGCGTTGCTATGCGTGCTTGTGATTTTCATGTGTCTTTCTTGGCTTGCGAAGTGTGGGCAGCACGCCAACCCTTTCCTTTCCCATTGTTTGTCCACACGGAGCCCAGCCCCAGAGTACAGGTGCGCCATGATCTTGGTGAACAGCTCCAGCAGAAGGATCATTCTCACCGAAGATCCTTGGGTGGAGGCGGGGGGACTGCTGGTTGACACGTGGACATGACTTGGACATGAGAACTTGCAGAAACGCCGAACGTACAGACTGCGGTCACGTCGGATGTCTCTAGCAATTGCATGCAATTGCTACAACTCCCTAAAAATGGCTACAACTCCCTAAGAATATGTAGCAATTAGCCAAATCTAACATCCCCAAAGTCCGGAGATCGTGGATAGATCAACGCAGACACTGCCACTAGATGCCACTAGTCGATCTTGGGCGGGGCCCAGTTGGCTGCGCTTGGCGCTGGCGACGGTCCGTCTCAGGCACTGCGCCATCGCTCGGCAGGTACCCAGTACGCTCGAGCACTCCTCCGTTGCAAAGGTAGCTTCCACAGAAAAAAAATCACGTGGAGTGCCGCATAGTGCAGCTACACTTGGAGGGAAGAGTCTCTTCCACCGCGTCGATTCTGTGGATCAATTTGTCTGAACAAATTGGCTGTCGACCAGGCTCACGGCATCTCATGGCATTCATCCTCACCAGTTGACCTGGGACCTGGGATGGGACACTCAGCGGCTTGGCAGATGTGGCTTGCCGCCATGTGGCCATGACCGATATAAAAATTTATAAGGGAGATCGAAAAGGGCGGATTCGTGCCCAACTCTTGGGGACTTTGCTGATGTTGTTGCTTCTGAATGGCTTCCAGGCACGTTCGCACGAGGGCCCAGTCGCCTTCGTCCTGATCCCAAGTCGGCACCGTGGTTGGAAGAACGTCGGCCCAGTCGGCCCGGTCGGCAAGGGCATCACCTCACGGAGGACAATCCGAAACGGTTCAACGACCAAAGACACCTGGCCGTCCTCACTCGATGTTTGCTCCAAAATGGAAGCCGAAGCCGTGTGCTTCAGCCTTTGGAATTCCACCAATTCCACCAACCACTCATTGGCCTTTGTCGCATCATCGTTGAGGCCATGGCTTGTTGCAATGGCGGAAACGGATATCATCATAAGCGATGCCTGCTGTCCCTTTGAACGAAACATCATGGAGCTTCTCTGGACACATCAAGTCATCGCTCCTAAAAGCAGCCAGGTGGGCTACATCGCACCGCCACCGCACCAGGGATTCCACACGCTGCCATCGGCCGCATCAGGGGTTCCCGGGATCCGATCCGTCCCGATCGCAGCACGCTGCCGGTTGACACGTAAGAGCAAGAACTCCAAATCTCACAGCGGCCACGAAAATCAAGACATATATATATATATAGAGAGAGAGAGTTATATATATATATTGTAGTATAAATATATATATATATCCTCTACTGACTATACTAGCTGATCCCATTCACCCTTCGTACAGTCCTTTAGGGTGTGTCTTCTACCGGCGTGTCACAACACAGCACACGTCGCGTCGCGGGCCAGGACTCAGCTCCTTGGACATTGAGGAGCTCCGAACGCAGCTGGTTTCAGAGCGCTTGGCGCGGGAGCAGGGGGACGACCGATGCATGGAAAACATCAGAGACCTGGTCACGGAGGAGCGCGCAGCGCGAACGATGGGAACGGCGCTGCCGTTTTTGCTGGCCAATTTGTTTGGGGATGGCTTCATATGGTGTCCATCCCAGCAGAGGTGAGAGTTTGTATCAAGATGTATCACGATTTGTACATGCAACATAATTACTTGACTGGGCACCTGTTCCTTTGCTACATGCATGTTGGTCCAGCGCTGCATCCTCCAGGAGGAGCAGAAACGTAGCCGCGAATTGCAAGCTTTGGAACGACGCTTGAGCAACACCGAGGCCGGCCAAATTGCGGAGTTCAGAGCCGCCAAAGTGACACAAAGGGTGCCAAATATCCTAAAGACTAATAGTAGTGTCCCCGCAGAGCACTTCCCAAAGAGTTCGAAGTGTAGAGCGAGAGGAGGCTGCCAAAGCTCCAAGTTGTGCCGCCCAGGACCGACACAACGACTCCAAGTCCTTTTTCGTTCCGTCCTCAGAACTTCGGCTGAAACCTTTGGAGAGCCAATGTCGTTGATGGACGCCATGAGGTGGAGGCCATCGCTAGTAGGCTGGAGGCCATCGCTACTCGTAGTAGGTTGGAGGCCGTCGCTATTAGGTTGCTTAGTGGACGAGAGCCCCTTCTGTTTGCCGATCCAGGCCGGAGATCGACCAGCCACCACATCTGCGTGCCCTCAGTCAGGCCATGAGGGCACGTTGAAGCACTGGTTGGTCAACTTGCCCACGGTTTGTCTATAAGTGTTTGATGCTTGTAGGGGCATACCTTATGAGAAGACAGGTTTCAAAAACCAGCAGGGGACGAACCTCATGATCCCAGCGCCACAAAACAAAGAAGGACTGAGGACTTTCCACAGGCTGGAGTTATGCACACTGTTGTTGTTTTTCGGGATGGCAGGTGCTCCTCGGACCATTCTACAATCTTCGCCATGGCCAAAGCCACTTGGAACAGTATGGAAGGGCTCCAATTGCTGGTCATTGCAAGCGTGACTTCTTTATGGAAGAAATGTTTATCTTGGTTGTTGAAGAGACGCTACTAGGAGCAAGGACGCTACTAGGGGCTCCTGGCCGTACTACTAGGAGCAAACGGCTCCTGGCATCGCTACTAGGAACAAGAAGCTACTAGCACCTCCTGGCATCGCTACTAGGTGATCATATTTCATTTGCGGAGCACCCTCCATGTCCTTATGGATGCGATGCATCGATATGCGTGAAGTAGAGATCGACAGATGACATCCAATGGTGTGGAGAGTGAGAGAGTTGTGTAAGTGGAGTGAAGTGAGAGAGAGAGAGAGGGCGAGACTCCGAGAGAAGAGAGAGAGAGGGAGGGAGGGAGGGAGGGAGGGAGGGAGCGATAGGGAGCGAGCGAGGAGGTTCAGCTGATCCTTCAGTGGCAAAGCTTGCTGAGGCCACCGAGCTTTTCCGCGTGAGAGGAGTCGGGCGCTCAGCCCGATCCTGGAAGGTTTCATAGTCCCACAGCTCGCCACAGCTCCATTTACCTTCCGTGGAATCAAACAGATTCTGCTGAAATCGAGCCGGCGCTCGTCAAAGTTTTGGAAGTGGATTTGCGGTATACAGCATTATACAGCATTCATATGTAGATCATTGTCTCTATTGGGCAGCTTGGGACAAAGATCCCACTGTTCATAGATGGATCTTTTTGTCTATTTGGCTCGTCTCGGGACACAAGCTCCCGCCGTTCTCGCCCTTCGGCTCAGCGAACACCAAGCAACCGGGCGCAAAACCCGCGAGAAGCGGCGCTGGAGCCGAGCCATCGGCGATGAGAATGGATGAAACCTTTAGGTTGGAGGCCATGGCTATTAAGTGGAGGCCATCCCTAGAAGGTTGGAGGCCATCCCTAGTAGGTTGGAGGTCATCGCTAGTAGGTTGGAGGCCATCCTAGTAGGTTGGAGTCCATCGCTGGTAGAATCTGTCCTTCGCGCCGCATATTTGTTTTCATCTTTGGGTGAGACAAATCAGTGTACAGCTATGACCCAGATGACCCTCCAAACCGATATCCACGGCTGATTTGGTCCACTTTGCCAGTGTTGAAAGCTATGTTCCGTTTGGAAAATCTGTGCAAAAGATCAAGGAACCATCCGCTGCCAGGCAAGCTTGTATAGTCCTCCGACGTTTGGATGGTGTGGCCACTGGGGCGGAGGTGGCGCAGGACACGGCCAAAGCCACTCCAAATTCCCTCTCCATTGAACTCCATTGGTTGAGCAGGTGTCGAAAAGTTGCCCTAATAGCGATGGCCTCGAACCTACTAGAGATGGCATCCAACCTAATAGCGACGGCATACAACCTAATAGCGATGGCCTCCAACCTACTAGCGATGGCCTCCAACCTAATAGCGATGGCCTCCAACCTACTAGCGATGGCCTCCAACCTAATAGCGATGGCCTCCAACCTAATAGCGATGGCTTCCAACCTAATAGGTTGGCCTCCAACCTACTAGCGACGGCCTCCAACCCTAATAGCTTGTATGCTTACAAGAAGGATGTATTTTCTCCATTGGAGTTGGCAATGGATTGAGATGGTCGGCATGAGTTCATGCTCCGAGCTTAGTGACATGGAGTGTTTGTACACGCGCTACATGTGCAACGCTGGTTGCTTCATTCGTTCAGTGATCCCATTGACCAGTGACTGAGTCATAGTTTGACCATTGACCAATGATTCATTGTTTCCAACTACCGGTGATAAGTCATTGTGCATGAGCTTGACAAGAAAAATATACAAACACGTTTTAAGGACACAGAGAATCCCAATGTTCCAGACCGCCGGCACTTGGTTGACCCTTGTGACCAGTGACCCCTTGTGACCGGTGACCCCGTCATAAACTATTCAGGTATAAGTTGCATGCGAGTTGATGACTCCATGATCATGGATAATGGTATATATACATAGATATAATGGGCTTGTATCCAGCAACCCGTCAAAAACACACAGACTGTACTGTGCGGTGGGTGTAATTGAACTTGAGGGGGAAGTACAGATCCAAGAAACTATGACTGACCTACGACACGGCAATGGCCGAAAAAGGGCCTTTCATGACTCCTCATCGGACTTTGCCTCTCGCGTGGCCCAGTCAGCAGTGCTGGGTTTTTCCACGCGTGGCTGTTGATTGGAGTGCTTCTGGCACGTCAGTCACCCTTTGTAGACCCCTTTTCCATTGTTTACGTACGAACTGCCGGACAAAGTCCTATTCCGCAACTCTCCATTCTTCTGAAACTGTTCTTCCGCAACTGTTTGGTACTCTTCAGAAACTATTCTTCAGAAGCTATTTGGCGATCTTCAGAAACTATTCGCGATCTTCAGAAACTATTTGGCGATCTTCAGAAACTATTCGCGATCTTCAGAAACTATTTCGCGATCTTCAGAAACTATTTGGCGATGGAACCATTTCGCGATCTTCAGAAACTATTTCGCGATCTTCAGAAACTAGTTCGCGATCTTCAGAAAACTATTTTGCGATCTTCAGAAATTACTTTGCGATCTTCAGAAATTACTTTGCGATCTTCAGAAACTTATTTGCATGCTTGAGAAAGTATTCTTCGGAACTTTTACAATATTGTAACCAAATTGCATGTAGGAGCACTGGGTGGGGGGTGGGGGTGGGTGGGTGGGCGGGTGGGTGGGCTATTGACGTACCTTGTGACGGCTACGGTATATAGTATATATATATTATACATGCCTATTTTACGATCTGCAGATGTTTTTTTTCGTGCAGGCTTGATGTTGCTCTTCGACTCTTCGTAGTTTCCGAACATTAGTTTCTGAAGAAAACCGTAGAGTGTCCGCAGAATAGTTTCCGAAGAAAACCGCGTAGTTTCCGAAGATTAGTTTCCGATCAAGACCGTAAAGTTTCCGAAGATCCCCTTTTAGTTTCCGAATACAACTTAGACCACTTCTCATCACTGTTCGGTCTTCCGCTCATTTCCGCTCCTGATCACTCGAATCGTCATTGGGTCTACGCATCAGGAGCAACTCCGCTCCTGCCTGAAGACCGCATTCGCCGCTCGAGACCATCGCGGATCTGGCGCCTTTTGCAGGGCCTTCCACGGAGAGCAAGATGGCTTGCCAGGCAAAGGGACTTCTCCGGAGCGGTGAGGCAAATTGGTCCCATTGAGGGTCGAACGGTCGTTGTTTTTGGCGCCTTATGGGGTCGAACCGTGTCTTCGAGTTTGACACACAAATGCTTGAGCTTCACCCTTCCCGTCAGCAGATTCATGTCCTGTTCTATTCCGCCTTTCTGCACTCGATTTTCAATCAAGGCCCGCTGAGGTACAAGTTTTGGCCCTGGTGTGATGTCTCGCATCGGCCAGTTGCTGGCAAAACTTGTCACTTCATCAGTGCGTTTCGGCATGATCAGGAAGCTCAACACCTTCGCACTCCGTATCATACAAACTTGCTGCTTCCTCTGTCCTGCACCTTTTGTTGAAACAACAAAATCTTTGCAAACCAACTTTGCGGAGCTTGCTCAATGTCAGAATGAACAATTGAGAGCACTCACTCATCCATAAACGCATTTCTTGTTTGTCTAGTGTTCTAGCTTTCACACCACCTGACCTGTCTATGGCTTCTTTGTAGATACACTCATCCTGCTCCGACCCTGGTTTGCCTGGAGATCAATTCTGGCCTCTCTTTCATGAATCCAGAAAAGTACCAGTATCGTCATCCCCACTCTACTAGACTAGAGATAGAGCTCGACATGTGAATCCCAGACTGATGCACTGTGGCGAATCTTGGGAAAACTTTCATCGCCAGATTAGCAAGCTCCAAGTGTGTCCAAACAGAGTCTTCTCCTGCAACTCGGGTTCCAAAGCAAACCGACATGAGTGTGTCGTCAACGACCGTCCCAAGTCCCCCCAACGATGGAAGCAGAATCAGAAGCAGAAGTATCATGCTGAAGTTTGCTACTAGTAAGAAAGGGCATCGCTACAAGAAGCAAGCAGCAAGAAGCTACTACGTTGTAGACCTAGTAGCTCCTGGCATTACTACTAGTAGCTAGAAGCTACTAGTAACAAAGCAGAAGCAGAAGCAGTTTTGTGACAGTCCGGGCTGAAAGAGTTGTTCGCCGCATATGGGATATCGCAGCTCTCGTTTGTGACAATAAAGTTCCTGTCAAGATAGCGTGACAAGAAGGGAAATTTTGCCCTCACAATCACAAGGATTGAAGGTGATGAATGCTGTTAGGTAGGCATGGGGAGATGGAGTAAGGCCTGTTGAGTGTCCAAAGGGTTTGACCACGGCTTCATTGGTCAAGCGTCTGCCCTGGGCACTCGAGAAGCTACAAGCTGGGGAGCAAAGCTGGTACCTGGATTGAAAATTGATGTGTTCCTCACGTGACAAGTACGAATTTGGACAAAGTGAGGACGCGAGAGTAAACGGTGCTCATGAGTATCACTTTGATGACAATAGGGACAGGTACCACCATCAAGGAAATAGGCGGCCCATTTGGCTGCTGGTAACCTCCAACCAAATTCAGGCGAACGTCTCGACGCGAAGGGCGAATGGTGAATGATGGAATCTGCAGAATCCCATGCAAAACGAAGAGAGCAACGCATATTTGTGGCCAACTTCTTGGAGATATTTGGACCACGCAAAAAAAAAAAGAGTATCCGGGTAGTTATACTACAAGCTGACGCAAAGAATTATGGAAGGATCCTGAATGGAAAGTGCAATTATGTTCCAATGAACAGCCAACCACGGACTGGTATATGAAGCGGCTGAAGCGGAGGAGAAGGGTCATACCGATGACCATTCCATACCGAAACCGTGGCCGGCCAGCGAGCTGGCCTTATCGCAGAGGATAAGACGGAGTTGTTTGTAATTCCCAGACACGACGGGTCTGGGACTGCCAAGGACTGCCGATCAGGCCAGGGGTGGTTTTGGGTGCCAACGGGGCGGCACATATGGCAGTCCCATGGAGTTCTTGGTAGATTGCAATATGTTTCAAATGCCGCTTCAATTAGATCCTTGCTTGGTCCAATGAACGCACGGTTGGTGTAGTTCATCGCAAGCACGGTTGGTCTTCAGCATGAAGCGAGATCTCCACATGAACCGTCTCCACGTCTTGGTGGTTTCTGTCCATCGGCCCACGACTTCGACTTCGCCTAACCTGTGGAAGTTCGGCGAATTGTGGAACCTATGGAGTTTGATGATTTCCATCGTAGTTGCGGTGACAATAAGTAGTTGCGAGGGCTATGGCGGCGATGGCCGCATCCGGCCGTCCGCCGGAATGGGACGCCGGTACCAGAAATGGAATCGGAGAACCAGAACCCGAGTGAGCTTTGGCAACAAGATCAACCCGCCAAGTGGTTGATTGTTCATATGTGCCAATTCAATGCGTTGATGATAGGCAAAAATAATCTTGCCAGCATACCCCGACGGAAGATGTTTAGACCGGTGAAGAGAGAGAGAGAGAGAGCGGTGTTGAGACTCCAATAATCGTCCGTACGCCAGCGGAAAAAGTCCCGTCGTCTGCGGGGAAGGGTTTGTAGTTGAAGGATTGATCTGCATGCATCGAAACTGCGTGGGTCAAACCTCGAAACTGCTCGGTGCCTGGAGTTCAGAAATGGAATCGGATGCGGCAAGGCAAACGAAAGCTTTGAGTCGGTTTGAGTTCGTGAGTTCGTGAGGATGATGTGTGGTCGCCCACAGAAGATGAGGGTTGGCAAAATCGATGTGAACTGGAGGAGTATGGGTTAAAGGTGGTTGCAGGCGTTGCAGGCCAGGAGTCTTCCGTTTCTTGATCTGGCGCAGGGTCGAGTAACGGACCACAAATGAACAGACTCCTGGTGCGCTGTGGAAGTGTCGTCAGCGGATTGTGAGACAGTCGCTTGAGATGGTAGGACTCCGCCTGCGGCTTTGGGTCAAAACCCTGCAAAGCTCGTCAGACCATGGAGCGGTCAACCAGTCGGTCTTCCGGTTCTGCGACCCGAAGGGTCGAGTCTGCCAGTCTGGAGACTTCTGTGTTCATCGAGACGGAGGGCACAGCGACCAAACATGTCGTTCTGATCATCCGTGCCGAAAACCACGGAGATCAGGTTGAAACCCACGGAGGGCTGACCCGACACCAATTGATGTTATATGATGTTATGGCTTGATTGATCTACCAGAACGTCCAAAGTCGCACTGGATGAGATGAGTATGAGATGTCCTCACATTCGGAAGAGATAGCCTTCTGGTTTGCGGCACGAATCCGTTTCTTGGAGCTCCCTGTAGCTATTCGGTCGGAGAGACTCCGGTGAAGCTACGACCAGGGTCGACCGCGACAGCCCGTGGGACCTCCGAAAAACGACCAGGCGTGCTGGTCGATCGCTTTGGAAGCTCTGCTGTGGTGACCTTCCAGCTATTGGGCTCTGCGACCATGGAGCTCATCGTTCAGGATCATTGGGCTTTTGGGGAGGGGAGGGTCCAGTGGGTTCAGATCTAGGACTGGGAATTGTGAAAGCTTTAGAGGGGTGGAGGTTCCAACCGATATGAATTTGCGACCCCCCATGATATACCTAGAGTGGTTGTGTGCGGTTGTACGTGGCATTGCCAATGCAAACACCACCATGTTGTTCATTGGCGGACTTTGGTTGCACACTACATGCTCAAAACTACAAGTTAATATGCAAAAAGTTGCCGAGGCCTTTTTGTGCTTGTCTACATGTGATCCACACAAAGCTCTTTAAAACATCCTGTTGTTTTGTTTGTTTGACAATGTAGTGACGACAAAACCGACAAAACCCAACAAAAATACATTCAACCCCACCCCAAGAGAAAAAGGAAACTCCATTCTGGGGCTCCTGAGTGGACACCTGGTCCTTCTCCTCAAATCCACCTCAGGACGCCTGGAAAAGGGTGTTCTTGTTGTTGGTTGTTAAGTACAAATTAAGGAAGACTATTCCAACTTGTGTTTGCAAAAGAGTGTAACTGAGATCTTCATTGGAAGCAAAATGGGAACCTGGTCTCAATATTAGTTGATTCTAGCATGGACGTTAAAGGATTTTTAGTTGGATACCGTTGGATACCTACTAAAGATTTTGGTGTGCATTAAAGTTTGATGCTGAAAGGAAGTTGATTTAGCAGCCCATTAAATAGCAATACGAGTATTGATTTTAGAAAAAGGTCCACAAGGAACTAAAATAGGTACTGCAACCAAATAGAAGCCAATATATGGGCTTAATTTTTACACGTTTTCAGGTCGAAACAAATTGGAGACAAATAATTGAAGTGATTGCAAAAGGGATCGCACACCGAATTGGAAAAGAACTTGTGGAAGGGGGGTGCATCTTTTTTGGAAAGACGTTCAACGATATTCTAATTCGGCACCACTTGAGAAAATCTATGTGTGCCTTGATCGTAAAACGAGGTCTAAAATGGTTTAATTGCAAACAATCCTAGTCAAATTGAACTGCTTAAAGAAGGATGTTCAATCTAATCGGAGAAGGTTTCAAAAACGGCGTGTTTACGTAAGAATCCACTGCCGCATAAAATCTCTTGCATTTCAATACCTCAGCAAACCTGCAAATATGCAGACTGGCATTGGCATGAACCAAGACCTTCAGAAGAAAACCAATGGGACGGCAAACCAGATTGACAAAGCAAGTTCTCAATATGAAACTGGAAAGCAAATGATGCAAAAGAGCTAAGGAAGAGGAAAGGGTAGATCATGTGGGGGTGAGTAGGGTAGATCATCTACATACACATACAACAACACATGTATCTAATGTATATATATATATATATACACATAAGACAGTTTTACAGGTATGATACGCATTTTCACCTACAGTATCTATCCTTATCCGTGTTTGTCGTGGGTGTTTGGCACTCGTCTCTGGACTTCGTACCACGGAGTCCTGCCACGGAGGAGGAGCTGACGCGGTGGATCGGCAAGCTGCAACAGCTGCCACTCGAACTGCAACAGCTGACGGCAGAGAGACCGGATGGACAGGTGAGAGATCGGCCGGGACAGGAGCCCTGATGTGGAGACCGGATCTTGAGGTGAAATGATTCCTGGTAATCCAGTGTTTCTCTTCTTTGGGCGTGCACCAGCACTAGCGAGGGTTGGAGGTAGTGAACTCAGCGATATCACTACTGCCTTGTGAGCGCTTTGTTCACTTGGAAAGTCAGAACTTGTCCGCCTAAATAGAATTCCTAGCACGGGTCTGGGTAACTTAAGCAATGAGCTAGCAAGGCAACACCTTTGAGTGTCGCCTTGCCGAGCGTCTTCGAAAGAGTGAGCTCAGGACTGTTCATCACATGACCGCAAAGAAGGAGAAGTGGGCACAGGAAGGCAAGAAGTTGCCAGAGTGTGCTTAAGCTATGCTACAACAGTTTAGGCAGAAATCCTTGGTACAGCTTGTTTGCAATAAGAGTCTTTTGCAAGATGCACCCAAACCCAAGTGAACAATAAGTTTGAAGTTGTTGGGCATTGGTGATTTTATGTTGTTTTCTTCATACTTAGCATGCAACAGCTAGAGTGTGTTTGAGACACTTGTTGGCCCTTGCGATGGACCGCATTATTCACACGTTTCCACAGTACTCGGCAGAAATCGTGGTTCCACCTCTGAAAGAACTGGGCTTGTATACTAATAGGGGGACCTCCCTGGCCCTGGCTGAGTAGATGGGTCTATTTTCCAAACCCGGAGGGGGGTCGTTGCCACGCGACCGCCGACCTCCCTTTGGAGTTTCACCAACCCCGGAGTTCACCAGGCTCGGAGTTCACCACCAACATCACCCGAGGGACCAGCTCGCGAGTGTGGCTCCCCGGTGTTGGACGGCGAAGAGGGGAGGCGTGTGAACATATACTGATGGGCATGTGTGTATCTAGGGTGTAAGTGTTTACCTAATTATCGTCATCCACTGCTACCCAATGTGTACCGTTTGGCTCAGTTCACGAAATCTGGCCCGGTTCATTTTCCGGTCTTGGATGACTGACTCGCGCCAGTTCATCTTCCACCGGTCGTGGAAAAGAATACAAGGCGTGTCACATATGTCCAGTCCTGCTCTGAAGGAATGGGAATGAGACATTGAGACGGTAGCCCAGATGTCTCCAGCCACTGGCGACTTGTTCCACCATAATTGGTTGTTTTCCATTTGATTCCCATGCAAATAGATGATGAAGACTTGTTCTTGGGCCCTTGTTCATGAATTGGTGCTTCAAGCTCTTTGACTGACTCCGAATGTGTTTGCTCTCTCAGCCAGCAGAACATTGCGGCCACGGAGTTTTGAATCATGGTTAATGGACTTAGGCATATGGGCCCCAGGGTGCTCATTGTTGGCCCTCTTGGGAATCAGAGCTTCTTACTTTCCGACTGGAGTTCTGCTTTCGTCCTCGCCACCATCTCCGCTATCCATGAAGGGTACACATTGTTGATGGGAGCATAGTCTCAACTGCACTGGAACTGCAAAAGCAACAGAAACCACTCTGAAGACTCGACAGGAATTCCACGGCCTTCAACATGAGTTTCAAGTCCTTTCTTGACTGAATGAGCTGAAATGTAAGGTCTGCGTGGAGGAAGCAAACGCGCGCTTTGACATTGACGTCTTGCAGGGGGTCATACCAGGCAGGAGTCATAGACGACCAGAGCAGGACGAATTCCGACCTTTTTGCTGTCCCTCCTGGTACCGTCTTAGCGCCGCCTTAGGCGCTCTCGAACCATTCACAGCCATACCTAGACCTAGAGATCACCCAGCTGGAAGACCCGGGAGACTTCTCCGGTGCTGCTCTTCTTCCAGTTTTATCATGTTTTCTCCGGTCATCCCGAGTCATCCCGGTCCGTGAAGGATGGACAGGCTGTAGCTAGTAGCCTTCTTCAAGTCTGAGTGGAGTACAAACCCTTTGCACATAGTGCTCAGAAATCCAGATTGGCACCACTGGCTTGTTCCACCGACATGGTGGGTTATGAACCAGTGTCGCACGTACAAGTCAATGTTGAAGCTTAGCTGCTGGAGAACATGTCTTCTGCCAATCGCCAAGAAGTGCGTGTAGCGATGTGTAGTGATTTATGACCTCGTGTGCCTGCAGCTTCCATGTGCAGAAGGATTGGTTTGCTTTACTGAATGAACCGGGTACACCTCGATTCTAGTGATGTGAGGTCAGTGGAACTATAGCCTGGAAGCCTTGCGTGCACCTCTGGCACAGCGTTTAGGAAGCTCAGGCAAGGCAGCACCGAGCACCGACCGCTTGACAAAAGGTCAGGGTGGTGTTTTCAAGAAGGTGTACAAACTGTTTGGGCAGGCAGGCATAGGAAACATGGACAGCAGAGCTGGAATAGAAACACCTGAGTTTGAGGTTGACCTTCTCCGAGGCTGTCTCATGGTTGTCCGTATTCATACAGTGTATAATTTCAAGGCAAACTGTTTTTGGAGAGTTGAAACAAATGATGCCCCCCAGGTCATCGAGATTGGCTACACCCTTCCAGGTCAGTTCTGAGGTCAGTTTCTCCCCGACAAGGGGGAATGACTTAGACGTTCAACTGAAACCGAACAAAGTTCAGGTTCAGGGAGCTGAGGACAAGTCTGCCAAGCTTTATCCATGTTGATACCCAATGCACCGATGAGGCACCGTGCTGGATGCGTGGGCGCAATGTGGTCAGTGGGGCCTCCGTTGTGCACAGAGTGGTGCTGCAGACGTCGTGCTCTTGGAGGAGCAACTGGGCCTGGCCAAGCTCTGCCGAGAGAACGCCGCAAAGAACGGTGCCTGGTCCGTGCGCGCAACGATCGCCGCTGGGGCAACCGGGCGATCCAACGATGGCTCCGCATGCGACCGTGGCTCCAGGGATCCCCCCAGAACGCTCCGAAGTGGCAAGACATGTTTTAGAAATGGCGCGAAGCAACACACACACACACATATGGGCCTCGTTTCTTCTTCTCGTTTTGTTTGGTTTCGGTTTCGGTGTTCTTCACTTCACGGCCTCTTTCCAAGCCTTGCCGGTTTGTCCGGGCGCGGGGTGGGTCGCAGGTGTCGAGGAGAAGGTCACGGTGCTTCATCGGAGCGACGTTCATGGAGAGCTTCAGAACATGGTCGCCTGGCCGCAACCGACGGACCGACGCCAAAGTGCGTTCAGAACGGTGCCGGCGTTGTCGGGGGGGCGGGTGGGGGGTCGCCGAAGGAGTGATCACAGGGAAGCAAAACCATGGTGGCATGGAGTAGACATGGTGGCCTAAAGTCATCCTGGACTAGATCGAATCTGATAGAATATGGGAAAAGGAAAACACACACATGGGAATCTGGACATATTTTTGCCTTAATTCACATTCTATCCACTCCAGGATGATTATATTAGTAGTTTGATGGCGAACAGAGGGAACTAATTATATAAGTGCCCGACCCCTATTGCGCCGTGGCGCCAAATGAACATGGTCTCCGGCGTTCGCCGTGATGCGCCGTGCACATGTTCAAAGATATGTGCCTTGAAGTGCTATTTTTTTTGAAAATCCCAACACTATCTTCCCTTTTGGTTTTTTGGGATGGCAAGTACTGGTACAGTCATTCTGTTCATCTTCTCCTTCAGCGAGTTTGCTGAGTGTGTTTTGCAAAGCTCATTCGACAATTCTCGTGGCGTGCATGGTCCCAGGAATCTTCTCCACATGACATGTACTGCATCACTAACTTGGGGACCTTTGGATGTTCTTTGATTCCATGACCATGACCAATTCTTCTAGGAAATGATGTGGGAATAAAATTATTGAGGCTCAGCCATCCCACCCCACCTGATCCCACCTCAAAGTCAGTCGAACAGTGTCGCGTAGCGTAGAAGAGTATCTACTGTATGGGTGTGCACTTAGAAAGCATGCAAGAAAAGATGGTGAAAAGAGAAAAATACGTGCTTCACTACATGCAAAAAATACAAAATGAACATCGCTACAAAGCCTCACATCGTGGCAGGGGCCGTGCTCTAACTCTAACTACTTGAAGTGCCACTGCGATCTGCGCCAGATGGGAGACATGATGTCATGTGGTTCTCCAATTGGCTTCTTGAGGCAGAAAGTGGCATCCGCTTCGATTGTGTCTCCTTGAATGTTCGCGTCCGTGGCGAAGCTGCAGATGTCGTGGTGCTACATGAATCCAGTACCTTCCTGCTATTCCAACCGGGCGGAGCCACTACAACCTGCTTTACCATAGCAGAAAGAAAGATCTAGAAGTTGATCTTAGATTAGACTTTGGCGAGCCTGAGCAGGTACCTCCAAGTGGCATTTCTTTCTTCGCGTCAATTCGGTGGAGGTGCAATGCCTTTGACTGCACAGTCTTGTTTCCGTGTGGGCATTTCATTGTTGACAAATCAAAGAGTCTAGTGGATACTTGTAGCATTTCTTAGCTAATTGATGTCAGGTATGGTATGGCACGGGGAAATTCTCAGCAAAGCAGCTCAAACCAACGAGGTTATGTTCTCCATGCCATGCGCTCAAATCGACCTCGCCGGGTCTCGCAGGAGGTGCTTCCACCCGAATGTGTTTTTCCTGGGGACCCAAAACGCCCCCCCATGCCAGAGCGAGGAAAACCAGGGGTGGGTCAGGGTGAAAACGTGCCCCAGGTTTTGAACGCTACCTGAAACACCAGCGTGGGCAATTCGGGCGCTGGTACAAGCCCAGCCTAAAGGGCTATGAGCGTGCGATCGCGCTGGGAGACCCTTGGCTGAAAGGTGAGAGAAGTTTCCGGTGGGGGCGACTTGGTTCATGGAAGTTCGACCAATCGCACCGTGATGTTTCTTTGTGGTGAAGAGAGAACTCTTTTTGCGTGGATGTTGGTTGAGTTCGGAAGTAACTCAACGTTTAGCCTCACGTTTCGCCGTTAAGCCTCGAAACCAATGCATCTGGAGTTGTACGACACATTCATGGAGACAGCAAAAAGAAGTTCCCGAGGCACGAGTGACCTCCAGGAACGGCTACCTGGTGGTTTCCTTCCTCCTACCTCTCACGACGGAGTACTGGGCCTTGTGTCTTGTTCAAGGCGTGGAGTACTCACCCGCGATCCGCAGGGTGAGTGGAACGCCTTCTTCAAATACCCGGACTGTTGATTTTCACCCATGCGACAAAAGCATGCCCCAACAGACCAACTCTCAAAGTCGTTGATCCAAGCTGCTCAGCCTGCAGCTTGCAGGGAGGGCTTGTGGCATTTTGCAGCTCAAAGTGTCCTCAACTAGTTATTGATGATAGATATTGATAGATATATATATATATGTGTGTGTGTGTGTTTGTTTTCAGTTTTGGAACTTCAGGATACAATCCAACCCATGTTTGCTTGTGATGCTGATACAAGAAGGCTATGGAAAGATCATGTTGACTCGAAAGATCTCGAAAGTCAGAACCAAAGATCTTCAGGAGAGGGAAAGGACAGCAGGGGAGTTTTGTCAATCCCCATGCATTCCTATTGAAAATCCCAATCACTAGCACTGGCCTCCCAACAACTCAGTGGTACCTGAGGTAAAGCTCACGTCAACCTGGGAGATTAACTTGTTACTAGTAGTTTCTTCCTAGTGCCTTCAACCTAGAAGCGATGGCCTCCAACCGTGCGTCGCTTCTTGTTACTTGTGGCGATGCACTTGACGGCATGGCGGGTCGCTTCGATCTGATCGCGAGTCCGACCGCCCTTAGCTGACCGGCCAGATGCATTGCAGAAGGCATCAAGGGCCGGCAGCATCATTTATTGCTCCAGCAACGCCAGCGAGCTCCTTGGCGAGAAATGGAGAAGGGACCCCTGCGCCGGCACATGTATGGTTTCTGGGGTTCTGTGTGAAATGAGATTTCTTAGTTGGGTAGTTGGATGTGATTTGTCTCCAAAAAAACTTGGGATGATGGTTTGGATTTCTTTACAAAATTATTCATGGCACTGGAAACCACTTAGATGCTCTTAGATTGGCACCCCATGGTGAGAAACAATTGTTCACCACGCTCGACCGCATGACCGGACCTCCGAGTCGGGCGGTGTCGTCACTGCATGGGCTGAGGGACACTGCAGTTGCTTCATCTACGATGGATGAGTATTGGAGTCATGTTCTGATCGCAGTCCATTTGGCGTGAGACGACCAAAACAGGGCATGAGTGGGTTCGACCAGTGCTCGAAGGAGCTGAAGCAGAACGGGTCGCGATGCACCCGTGCGTCAGTTGGACTATCGTTTGCGAGGGGTATGGCCCACAGGTATGGGCATCACATGTTGACATCCGAAAAAGACCTCAGCGAACAACTTGTTTATGCGACCACCATGTATACATGACTCGTGAGGCGATTCTGGGGAGAGAGAGAAGATGATGATAGCTCAGATCCCCAGATAACCACAAGTCTCTGTGTTGGTGTCTCCAAGTTGATTTTGGATAAAGAGTCTTTGGGGTTGAGCAAGGCTTGAGATAACCCCCCCAGCTGTGGTAGCAGAAATCGTTCTCCAAAGCCTCTGGCCGTGGCTTTCTTTTTGCGCGGTCCAGTGGACCGTTTTGATCCAATGTGGAGCGTTTTGGATCAAGCAAGAGATCTCTGTTCAGAGGATGACCAGCATGACTAGAGGATACCAGAGACGCTAATTGTTGCTGGAAACCCTCCAAATCCTTTAAAGCAACACCGCCATTTGATGAGAGATGTTGACATCATCATAGGCCAGGTTTCTTTTTTCAGCACGGCAACGAACTGTAGTGTTGGGAGATGTTGGGAGTACAAATTGCCATACCCAAAGATCCCGACGTTGGCCGCCGGCCGCGGGTGTCGGAGCCGCCATGCTTTGTACTCGGTACTCGTCGAGCTGCCTTCTTCGGCTTCACAGGTCGCACAGGTCAGCGACCTTCTGGATGGGTGTTCGGGCTTACTTAAAGCAGTATGCTGTAAGAGCGCGACGCCGTCGAGGCAAGCTCCGAAAAAAGACGCCTCACAGCTAGGTCAAGCAGTGGACAGTCGACTGTTTTTTTCCATGGTGAACTGCTGGGTCCGCTCGAAATCTGGAGAAAGCATTGGTTGCTGGACCTTTTGCATCTTGCACCAGCGAAGTGATGGCTCGGACGCAGGCGGCCGAGCCATCGGCCAGCCTGGGGACGGGCTGCGGCAAGAAGCGGCTCGGAGGGAGTTGGAGGAGTACACCACGGCTTCAAAGTGACCGGCCAATTTGTTTCCAGAATTTGAAGTGACCTCTTTTCTGGGCCCTAAAGTGTGACCTGAAAATACCTGAGATCAAAGGTCACTTTGGAAGAACCAGGAAATTACATATCATTGACATGCTTCGATGGATCGATTGAGTCTGAGACTGGCCCCCTTCGGCTTGGAGCTTTGGACTGGTGGTTTGGTGCTCTGGATGAGCAAGCTGGGAATCTCAACGAGAAACCACCACTGCCCACAACATCTGAGAAGAGCCTAGGGAATATGCTGGACTTGGATGGTTTCCCCAATGGAGTCATAGTGGATAGGTTTCAACCAAGATCCCAAAGGTTCATTCAATATGGAAGGGAGAAACCCAAGCTGATGGGAACGGAAGATTCAACTACGTATTCCGTGCATTATGTGGTGATTGGATGTGATTGGTGGCCACATGTCATGACATTGAGCGCATTGAGCGGATGCTTGAATCTTGAATTGAAGCAACACCAATTCCGAGTCACGAACGAGAAAGGGTCGGAAGGTGTGTTTCTTTTCGATTGTCTCCCACTGCCGACCCAGATGTGGGGATTCGCCGGGCCTTCACGACTTGGGGTTCCCCAGTAGCCTCCTTGCTCCGTTCGTAGCGATGCCAGGAGCACACATAAGTCACACAATTATGCCCTTCATGCTGTCCTTCTTTTCAAGACTCGATTTGGAAGTGTAGATCTAAGAGTTGTCTTGGAAAACGCCATTTCATGGCATTCAACAGTTCGATTCCCTCGAGTTGACCGTGATTTGCATGTATTTCGTGCTGAGGCTCCAGCAGCAACCCCTGGTGGAACGAGGAGACCACTTTTCTGAGAAGACAGCTGACTGCCAGACGGTGGCCAGGTCCACGCTGGCCCAGGGATGTTTTGGTTTGATTTACGTATGATATTGTTGATTGATGTTGATATAGTATAGGCAAGTGCAGATTCTGTGGGTATGTTTCCTGTGCTTGTTTCCTGCCCAGATATGCTGCTGAACTTTCAAAGTTTGCATGTCGCATTGGCTGTTAATGAAGCGAACGAGTCGTTGCCTCATGTAACATGGTTTGTAGTGTATCTTGCCAAACCCCAAACCTTTCGCAGCATCAAAAGCCTTTGGTGTCTTACACGTTGTCCAATGCTTGAAAGTTGGCTGCCCCAAGAAATAGCAAATGCTGTGTTGACAAATGAACATGAACATTACCAGACGTTCTAGATACGGCCAAGATCGAAGTCTTGTTGATACTATTGATATGCATGGTCAAAGCTCGTCAGCCAGAAAATGGACAGATTCCCAGCAGGGTCCCACCTCAGATGCAACTGCATTGACACACAAAGATTTTAACAGCAAGATTGCCCTTGCTCTCCCAGCTCCCAGCAACCATCACATCGACCATCAGATCACCCAGCTGAATCACGACAACTGCGACACCCCTGCAATGCCCCATTTCAGAGGGCATATGACCACAGCCTTGAAATGGAGCAACCTTGCCAATCTTCGACGCCTCACACCCATCAAAGATCCTACACTGTGGTCCCACAGTCAAGCTTGCAGATCACAGATGTTTCCACAGATGTGTCCTCCCTAGGAGCTTGAGAGGCGACAGAAGAGACCCTTGCGACCCTTGCAGCCCACGCAGGCGGTCAGCTGCTCCCGACCCAGAAGCGGTCTGTTTTGTTCCAAATCTGTGGGTCAAAACCGATGTCCGATACATGTGGCTGTGGGGTTATGAAAGCAGGATCTTGGAACTCACCTGTTAGGTTGAGCTCCTAGGGGTTGAGCTCCTGTTAGGATTGCACCTCAGTATTAGTAGTCCATTCTATTCATTTTCCCAACCAGGGTTCCCCGGCTTTGACCCACAGCCATGTTTCAAAGCTTCGAAACAGGGTGGGTGATGTTGGTCTGAGGTAGTGTAACTTCCAGGCGAAGAGATTCTCCTCCTTTCTTAATGCTGCAATGAATGCATGAAAATCATGGAACCAAAGAGAAGGCTGACTGAGAGGCTGAGATTGCTGGCAGATGGCCAACTGCAAGCAGCGACTGCTCACAGGCTCACAGACTCACAGACTGAGAACCGAGCACAATGGGAAGTAACTCTTTTGGGATCCTCAAATCGACCACGGGACTGTTTTCCACAACGTTTGACGAATGAATCCTCCCCACGACCAAGATCTGCCAGATGCGTTAGGGCCCACAGTGACCGGGCCGTGGATTCGGTTGGTCCCCAAACAAAGACCCGACCCAACCGCTACCGGTGGCGAGGCATCAGTCCATCTGTTGAAGCGGTGTACTGTATCGCCCGTGCCGCCTGGACATACCAGGACAGACCAATCCTTCACTACCAGAGCAGATTCATGCCATTTCATGCGTGCCATTTCATGCTGGAGGTGTGTGAAATGTGTGTGAAATTGGTCTGAAATTGGTCAGATCAATGACAGAGGGATCAAAAGAAAAAGAACACAAAAATCGAAAGGCCCCAGGCCCCCATCAGTTCCGTCTAACGCAACTAGTCATGTGGAGCTTGGTCGCCCACTTTGCTGCATGGAGCTTGGTCGCCCACTACTTCAAAGAGTTTGTTAGGGTTCGAGGAGATTGCATATGGGTCGCGGAGAAAATACTCCTTGCCATCTTGTTGACAGTGCGCTTGCCTTTTGAAGGGGTCTGATGTACATGAGAAGAAAGGTCCCGGATAGCAAGCCAGACAGTAAAGCCCTGTTGCCAGAACACCAGACCATCACTAGCTCTACCTATTTGGAAGGACGCTTTGAAACATGAAAAAGCATGGAAATCTGATTTCCAGTTCTGATGTCCAAAGGTTCTGAGTCTCCTGAGTGATCGATCTCTCAGTTACCGGAGGCACCGCGGGAGGCGACCCCAAGTACGTGGCCGACCCAAGACCGTGGCTCCGAACGGCAGGAGAGGTCGGGACTGGTGGCTGCGAACGGCAGGAGAGATCGATGGCTGAGATCGGCACCTTGCAGTCTGAAGGGTTCTCAAGGATGGGTTCTACAGTAGAAAAAGATCATGCCAATGCAGGCCATATCTATTTAGTTGGGGACTTGTCACATCTTGAATACCAAGCAATGCAAAAGCATGGTGATTGAACCAGGGTTATCTAATATGCCGTCGCCTCCAAAGTGGTGGGTGCCAAACAAGCAGGCTGTCACGTAGTTAGGTCACCGAGACGCTGCGAAGTCTTGCAACTTTAGACATTCACCAAGACCTCTCCACCAAAACCGCGTGCTTTTGCTTCTGGCAGGACTGGCAAGAGAGTGCCAGCAGTTTGCAGCTCTTCGCCTATCCCGAGGATCGTCGCATCCCTTGGGCCTCCCTGTCACTGCTGGTGACCTCAGCTTGTGCCACCTTGGCTGCTGCAGGACTCTGGCAACAGGTGGGCTTCCTCCCTGTGGGTTGACGGTGTGGTTCCTTTATCGGTGGTGCGGCGCTAGCTCCCTAGATCGCTGGCTATGCTGGGCCTTTCCGCGTGTTGATCACTGTGGTTTCATTACAGGGGGCTGATGTAGAATCAACACATCTTGCATCCTTGTAACCATTTGATTCACCAAACTCCCTTGTAAGGATTTTTGTCCTGGCTTGGCATCTCCGCGGGACCCTTTTGCTTGGAATCTGAAAACCTTGTGGCAAACACTTGATCCAGACAAGGGCAAGACTTGGAAATACGAAACTACGCGGTGAAAAAGGTCCCAGATTGATCCAGATTGTGTTTGAGCAGTGACATGTCAACAACGACAGCTCCACAAACCACACCTGCCCAACCTACAGTCACCACAATGACAACTAAATGACAAAACGGACACCGCAACTGCTCACCACTAATACTGCTGCTGCTGCTACTACTACAACTACTACTACTGTTCACAATGCAACTCCAATCCCCTTCAGCTTTTTTTGCCTGTTATATACCATTTTTCAAGGACTAGCCTTCCAAGGTGCTGGGCTCAAGCTCTATGGAGGAGCTCGAAGAGCGTCTGGAGCGCTTCACAAACACTCTGAAGGCTTGCTCGGCCAAGTGGCCACTGCAGGCAACGAGTGGGGTGTTGGGGGAGGAGATGGTACTAAAACAGGAAGAGAGGGATCGAGATGGGGTGGATTTGCTGGGATGGGAAAACACTAAGAGTGGTGCGTCGCTCATGCAAGTATGTCTGGCAATTTGCTCGTGTCACAGAGTGACAGTCATAGGCCATAGGCTTGTCTCAGAGATTTAGCCATACACGGTTCCAAAGTATATTCCACCTGAGCAGTATATACTCCGTCTCATCTCCGCGAATCATCACTTAGTTGTGGGTCCGGATATCTCAAGACCAAAAACCTCTTTGCCACTGATGCTCCGGAACATCCCAGGAGTCGTCCTTTTTATGAAAGACTCCCTTTGGGTCACCACTGGCACATGTCGTTGGAAAAGGATCATATGGTAGCTCTGGCCAAAAACGAGTTACAAAAAAACACAGAAATCTGCCAGTCTGAACATGGTGTTTCTTCAGATCAACTGTCAGCAGTGTTTTCGTGTTGGTTTCAGATGTCAAGGTCCACGAGCTCCACGGGCTTCTCTTGGCCTCGCTGCTGCGCGCCGGCGAGCTGCCGAACCGTGCGCTGAGTGATTTGGCGCTCCTGCTCTTTGGGGGTACGTTGCGACCCGGACGATTTGGGTGGAAGTCATCTCAAGAGCCAATAAATTCATATAATATATATATATATATGACATCCCATATTGTACGTGGATGTATATGCAATCTGCAAGGGTTCCCTGAGATCTTTTGCTGGCTTTTCTTGAAAGTCGTGAAACAGATGGTGGTAGATGTCTCAAATCGATGTGATTCAAAGGATCACCTTACGAAAAGGGACCTCTAGAAAGGGAGTCGGACCTTCCTGAAAGGGAAAGAATCATGACGACCTGCTGGTTTGCATGGCTGTGAACTAGGAGGAATGGACTGCGCTCTGCATGTGGTGCATCCCGTTGGCCACCTCCGTTTGTTTTTTGGGGTCAAACCCGTTCCACCTGGGCCATGAAGAGCATTGAAGAACCGTCAGGGCGCATCGTTGAAAACCACGATTCACCCCTTCCTTTCAGGCTTGAACGTCTCTATGGTGCACCCTTCATGTTGCTTTTCTTGGGTGTCAGCACGATGCTGAGCAACGCCACTCGGACCGATGGAAACAGCTCCAGGAGGCTGTTGGACTTGGACCAGAAGTTGTTGGTCATTCGGCCATGTTGTCGGTCGCCACTCGGTCGCCACTCGGTCGCGCTGACACTGAGCTCTGACACTGATGGACTGGACATACCCAGATAGGCACCAAACAAGGGTGCCGTTTTGTCCCTTGGGTTTGGTGCCACGCATAAAGAGCCCCTAGTAGCGTCCTTGCTCCTAGTAGCGATGCCAGGAGCCCCTAGTAGCTTCTTGTTCCTAGTAGTAAGATGTAGTAAGGCCATTTTTCCAGTGAATCCACCGTTCCGCCATGAGCGGTGGCTGATACTCCGTTCCAGCCAGCCCAGCTTTCTGAAATACTTCTAAAACAACGTGCAACGGATCTCAACCGCAACCTCAGGGTTGCTCTCAAGAACAGAGAAGCATTGACCATGTTTGACCCCTTATCCCGATTGAATGCTAATTAGCAGCTTGACTTGTTGTCTCATTCGCGGCACGGAGTGCACATTGGACATCACACGTCTTATTTGTGTCTTTCAATTCACTTCATCAATGAAGCACGCTGTGTACATATATGTAGTTTTCTCTATTTAGCTTTTGGCTATAGCTGCCATCAGTTCAAATCGCTGTCCTCCTCCACAGGTTCAGGTTCTCTATATGTATATTAAGTATAATATATTAATATAAACAAAAACATTGGTTTTACCCGTACACAAACATAGGGGTTCCTTTTCACGAGTCATGTCACCCACCCGCTGGAAACCCCAGAACAAGTGTGGAAAGGTCCTTCAACGCTCAAGTTGGAGACCGTGCAATGTAATTCGTTCAGGTGCCACGGTGTCTCCAGGATGCAAAAATATGTTGCTTCCAGAATTCTGGATGAACCAGTTCATCCTGGTTCCTGGCTACCATCACCTTTTGCCTGAACCGCTCGACCCTGTTTGAGGCGATGGCCATGGCCATCCAGCAGCGCTTTGTGGAAGGCGTGGAAGGCGAGGCTTCGAACCCTGGTGGTTTCTGATGAATTCGGTCGCTGAACACCAACACCATGACATACTGCACATCCCACTGATTCCCCATGATTCCCCCGAAAAGGTACCAGTTGTGTCACAAGTTCAGGTACTACAAACATCAAGCAGAAAGCCTTTTGCCTGCTTTTTGCGCCCAACAATGCCCTGCTGATCAAGCACCAGGGCTTCTTAAACACCGGTGGCCGCAGGTTTGAGCTCCACGAGTGGCGGATTAGTGGCCCTGGGCACCTTCTGCGCTTTGCGACATCCACGCTGGGCGATCTGGCCAGGTCCGTTGTGGGTCGGACGTTCGGCTCCAAAAAAAGGCGACGACGCGTGAAGCCGCCGTCGGAAGAAAGGTCGAAGCCGTTGGAACGGTGAGCAAGAGACAGAGAGCTGTTAGACAGGGGTTGACTACTCGCGAGTTGCAAAACATCAAGGTTTGAGATTTGGGGGTACGGCATATGATGGGGGCAAATGTGGGACACATGTACCAAAGCTGAAGCAGCCCGGAAAAGCACAGAGGACATCTCAAACCCACAGCAAGAATTAGTGTTCATCCACCTTACCCGGGTAATCAAGTTGATGCAAATCATCCATTTGGATGCATTTGGAACAATCATGCACTGTATACTGTGAAGGAATAGAAAACTATTCCTTTAACAAGGTGAAGGTCGTGCATAGTCTAAAGCCTGCCAAAAGCTTGACTTCCTGAAATTGAAGACACAGAACACCGTTTTCCCTTGCATGGAGCGTGTCGCCCACAGCACGCCCCGGGCGGGCCAGGTGTTCCGATCCCTGTTTCCTGGCTCATGGCGCCCGTGGTGGTGTGGACACCTAAAATCCCTGTGGTGTGGACACCTAACTGGCAGGTTGCCAGGTTTGCCAGGTTGCTTTGGGCTCAGTGTTGATTGGCAAAGATGATCGAGACGTTTGGTCCCGAGGCCCTGGAGGCCCTGTTTGTCCGGGATTTCGCATGCCGCATGAACTCTCGCTCCTTGAAAGTCAACCTAACAATGCGGCCTTCGCCCTCCTTGAGGTGGCTGACCTCTCTTTGGCCTGGGCATATCGTCAAGAGTTAAAGGCCTTCGAGTTTGGATCTCAGCGGTCTCAGGTTCAGCGCCATGTGTGCAGAACCTGGGATGGATCATGAGTTCGGACTGGAAAAGAGGAGCTCGTGCAGGGAAAAATGCACATGTTGAGAGGTGAGGAATGCACAGGCTGAAGAGAGTTTGGAGTTTGATAGAATGAAACAAAGGATTACAAAGCACGATCTTGCATCTTTGTGACGGATTGCGAGGTTTGGCGACGTCTTGGGATAGGTCTTGGGAGGTCGTTTTCGGGCGTTTTCCTCGGCAGACACCTCTGAGGTCAGCACAGGCGGCGGACACCGAGTGTCGTCGACCCGACCAAAAAGCGTCGACTGGTTCCCGCCCGAGCACTGGCCCAATTTGGGTGAAGAAAGAAGACAAGCCACACAAGCAAGCCGCCGCTTGGGGATACAAATTGGGGACACATGCTTTTGACAAAAAGTGTTTGTTGGTTCTAAAGGGCTGGAAAACTCTTTTTCAATGTCCACAGCGACTTGCTTGCAGCCAAACTCCAGCTGGAATTGTGAGTTTGACCACCTGTTATACAAGTGAACTTTTGTGGTCGATGGTGCGTGAGCGGATGAGCGGATGTCTTTTCAGAAACGGTTCTCAGGACATGGCGATTGAAGAGGGTTGCCAATGGTTGCCCTCTTCCATCAACCAGATCCATCACGTTTAAAAGTCGTTCAATTGTCGCCAACGTTCTGCTTAGTCTTAGTCCCTATGCAAAACTGTGAGTGTAGGCAGATTGAGAGTCTTCTTCAAACGACGTTGTTCAATGGTGGGCCATCCTGTGTCAATCGAAGCAGCATAAGAGGAGAGGCGGAGGTTGCATTCTCGAAACACGAACAGCTTCTCCTCTGGCGCATCAATGAGCCGACTTCATGTATCATGACCCCGCCAATGACATGTACGTGGACGACCTTTCAGGAAGAGGTGCAGAGCGTCCTTCAAGGTGAAGGGGCTGGATTTTAAGTACAGTCTGGAAGGTCTCCCGGAGCTGCTACCTCCGCCGATATCTGGAAGGACAAGAGCTTGTGCTGTGGGATGCGGAGACAGGGGACATCCCTCGTCCTTACTGGGATCCTGTTTTGGGTGTCGGACGCAACCGCAATTATATACCGTTCTTTTATGCAAAGGCTCAACCTAATTGGCTTTCTTCACTTCATTCGAAACGAGAAACCACGTGGGAGCGGTTTGTGCACAAAACCGATAGACGCAAGATACGGTTGATCAATGACGCAAGGTCAACCAATGCCATGCTCAGGGACCCCCAGCTCCGTCTGCTGAGGTGGAGAAGATATGAGCTTCTATGTGGGCCGAAGTGATGTGATGTTAAGGACTGCTTTCATCGGCCTCACAGGAACACTCTTGGGTGGGATCAAGCTCAAGGCGAACGATTGGGTGTACCCTATGCCCAGTCCTTGCACACAGGCTTCAGTTGGGGCCTAGATTTCGCGCAGAAGATCAACGAGTATCAGTGCCAATTGACACACAGCTTGCCGGCATCTTTCCCTCATCAGCAACAAAGGAGAATAAAGGGTTTTAGAGCCATAAGGCACTCACTCTGACAATGTTGGCATTGTTTCACCTCACGCGGGTGTGGCGCGGGAAGCGCTCCAGAAGCTCGATGACCATGAGCAGTGAAATCAGCCAAGGCTTGGGACCCTCCTCGATGGGGTATCCATGGAGCTTGCAAAGCAGCGGGTTGCACCAGATGAGTTGGTCTGCAACCTCTGACTACTTAACGGATCGGTCTGGATGGGACTTTCGACCTTGATGATGGAGCACTGTTTGTCGAGGGCGGGTCTTTCACATGATGGCCTTGTCAACTTACAGCCCGCGGTTGGAGCTGCTGTGGCTCAAAGTCTTCAGCCTGGTGAGGCCTGCCACAGGGATCACTGGAAGCTGGAGTGTGCTGATATCGCCGGAGGAACTGGCGACGCGAGCATCCTGTTGGACTCACCTTTCATCTTTTTGTACCGGAAGATTTCGCTGCCATGACACGAAGAATGCATGTTCCTACAGTCGGTACACGGTACACGGGTGTTCATGCGCGCTGGCCATCAGCCCCGACTACCGGGGCTTCAATGTACAGAAGTTACAGAAGCCGCTACCGAAGCCAGCTGGAGGTTCAGAGGAGAGGACAGTGGAAGACTTCAAAGAGCCTTCATTGCGAGAAGGCCGTGAGATCGCAGTATTTGTTTGGCCACGACGACATTGGCCAGTTTTCCAACTTCATGCGGTAGGAGGACGTGGCGAGCTGTGGTTTGAGGCCTTGGATGACAATCGGCCTGTCGACCATCTCCATGTGGTGCCTGGCATGGCCTGAGGAATGAGTTAGGCCCAGCACATTGGGCGGAAATCACGTTTATCTCAACTGGCGCCCGCGCAATTTCAATATAAGGATGATCTACACTCACTGACAGCTTCCGGGCAGTCGTGCCCTTCAGAGCTTTGCGCTGGTTTCGGAATGATTGGGCGCGGTCACACGCGTCAAATCTGTGAGTGTAGACACAAGAAGGTTTATAGCAGAGAGTCTTTTTGAAATTGCGTTGTTCAGAAGACACGTGGGTGATTTCTTGCTCAAGCGAGGCCCACCATGCAAGTGCGGTCACATGTATCAATCCGGCCACCACTTTATGTCCCAGGCCTCGAGCTGTGACACGAGATCAAACGAGCCCCTGAAAAATGCGTGCTGCTGAGAAATCTTTGTGGTTGAGCGGTAAAAATCTTTAGACTCCTTTAGACTTCACAGCTCACATGTCAATTTTGTTTCTTTACTGAAGTGAAGAATTGGTTGAAAATGTTGCACATATGTTTCTCGGTGAGATGTGCTGGGTAAAAGAGGTGAACTCGTGGCCCGGGATAAACCACTTGGTTCGTTTTCCAGGCAGGTGATGCCCATGCTCGTGATGATCACGCAGGCATGAGCCAAGTCCGGCTAGGCTTTGAGTGGGTTGGGTGAGCCGCTCGGTTCCTGAAGGCCATTTGATAGTATCAGGCTTGAATATGCGGAACCGAGACAGATTGGCACCCAGACTTTCTGGCAGCGTTTGATGTGGAGAATGTTTGTGACAGCCAATTGCCGTTCACGGCTGAACCACCCAGGGAACAAAAATCCTTACCGCCAGACTTGTTTGGGATACGGCCTGATTGAGGCGACGGTGGTTCACATCCCAGCATCGTCCACAGATCAGCAGTTTTTAGTTCAAAAACCTAGAAACCCGTTTGTCATGTGCTTGACCCTCTCTTTCATAGCAGACCGTCTACACCAAAGATTTGATTGGAAGATTGGCTTTGCAAAAGGTTTTTTTATTGAAGAGAGGAAAAGAAGGTGAAAAAGATGTGCATTGGGTTCTTTTAGGAAGTGCCTTTAAAAATTTGGTCCTTACGAAACGATGGCCACACACCATTTTTGCCCTGTCTTAATTGATCCTGTCGTAACAAGTTTGCAAGAAACTGTCCAGGCGCCGAGCGTGCAATGGCTCTAGCTGCATGCATCGCTCTCGAGGTTCGCCAGTGACTGGAGACGGCACTGTGACCGAAAGATGTTGTTGGCAGGTCTAGGTAGTCCTGCGCTTGGTTTCCCCCACCAAATGCAAGCAAGGCAACATTAAACAAAGGAGTGAAAGAGTAGATATGAATGGACCCACCCTGTCGCAGATACGGTGGCTATGAAAGGAAAAATCCCTGACTCCCACGTCAACTGGAAATAGTGTCTCATCATCGGTAAGCCTTCGTGTGGTGTGTGGATGTGTGGATGTCGCTGGTCCTGACTTTTGTTGGGTGAGACCTTTGCCTTTGGCAGGGTTACGTGCGAATGATGCAAGTCACTCAGTACATCTCAGTGTGCGCTTGCTGCGCCAAAGATCTTTCGCGCTCAACATCCGGCGTTGGGCTACTCTCGACTCTCGACCTTTCATTGTCACCCCAAGAAGTCGCCATCGCAGGCACAGGCTCGGGCGGAGTGCCGCCCGGTCTGGGAAGAGCTGCGGGAGCGGCGGGAAGAGTTGGAACTGGCAGCTGAAGAGGACAGCTTCAGATGGGTAAGATTGGTGCTTCGGTTGGTTTAGATCTTATGGCTTTGACTTCAAGCCGACAGATGGCCAGGTGGCGACAAAGAGAATAGGCTAAATTGATCGTCGCCTTTTGGATTCTTCAACGTTGATCCACATGCTTAGCAGCCTTGCTCGACTTACAAAATCATGACATATCATGAGCAGACCGGGAGCAGGTCTGGTGTGGTTGAAAAAAACCGGTCTGAAAAAGGGAAGACCTGGGTTGCCTGAGAATAGCACATCACTTGACTCAATAGATGTCTTGCAATGTGGAGGGACACATTGATGATAGGTTGCCCTGATGGGTTCACTGACTTCCTTGCCGAGTTCATCCGACCAGCGGGGCATGTTGGTGACTCTTTCATCTTGCGACAGCAGTGCAACCGCCAGGAACATACGTGTCCCAAAGGTGTTTCGATGTGGGTTGGAAGATGTTTGATACGACCAGAGGCTTAGGTAAGAAGCCCTTTAAGAGAGATACATATGTCATCATGTGTTCATGTGTCCGTTGATGACCATTTGGCCTGCTTGCCAGGATGTCCTACCACCCGAGGCCTATGGTTTGGAATTGGAGCAAGAGCAGTTTGGAGTGTCCTTGGATGAAACCAGTTCTAAGCCAACCAAATCAAGAAGTTTTATATGTTGCGCCGTGGGCAATTCAATCGCGCAGGCTACACTTTGGGCTGATCTTTCGGGCATCTTAATTGGGACAACAACTGTAATTATGTTATCATTATTGAAATAAAAATGATAAGAATATTCAAATATGATAATACGGAATCAAGAATGTTTAAATTCAAACTTAATAGGAACTAACGCTTATGAATATATAAATCTAAATGATAAAATAAGATTATTATCAATTATGATTATTGATGATTGAATTCATTGAATTTAAAAATTATGGATGAATATGATATTGATTTAGATATATATATATATTATATAGAATTTATATATTTTGTAAATAGATATAATTGTTTTAATGTTTATATTTGGGAATTGGACGAATATATTAGTTTTAATTAAAATACATTATAGTTAAGTAAAAATATATATATATAATGTATATTAATTTATATTGCAGATGTAAATTATATAGGAAATTAATAAATATATTTAATTGATGATAATTTGAAAAAAATAAATATATAAATTGGTATATGTGAAATATTATATTAATAGAATATAGAATTAAATTCTATATAATTTAAATAATATATTTAAATTATATGGTTTATATATATTATAGATAGATTTTTATTTATATTAAAATATAGAGAAATGTTATTTAATAAAAATATATATGTGTGTTTATTCGGAATGTAAATATATTTATTATGATTTATTTTTAATTATTGGATGAAAAGATGTTTTAAATGTATATATATTAAATTTATATTTTAAGATTTATTTAATATTTAATATTATTGAAATTTAGTAATTATCTTTACTATATTAAAAGATAGATTAAATTAGATTTTATTTTTATTTAAATTAAATTAGAATATTAATGAAATGTTGATTTAATTTATGTATTATATCGTTGGGCTTGGATTTTAGAGTGAAAGGATATTTGATGATTAAATATATATTTTTATTTTATTGATATTATTTTATATTAATAATATATATTTGAAAAATTTTATTAATATGGAATTGGAGATTGTTTTGATTCGAGATTTTATTTTGATATCGTTTAGGCTACCCGCTTGTAGATCGTATATTATTAAACGATATATTATTTTAGAATTTTTTTATGTTTGTTGGATATATTTTAATAAATATTATATGAAGGATTTAATTGAATCTTTATGTCGCAATGGTAAGGTCCATTCCAAAGGCTATTCGAATTCTTTTCTTTAATATCGAAGAAAGATTTCGATACCGAATTTATTTAGATAATTGGTATTTTTTTTTTTTTTTTCCGGCAAAAAGACATATTGAATTAGATATGGTTAAATCGCAATTTTCTGTCATTCTTGCATTCCGGACAAGGATCTATATTATTATTATTTGCCCTCTAGATTAAGTGCTTTTTTAAAGATCATGGAAGAATTTACTTAGTGTCCCTCGAGGTTGCAGCTGGAAGATAACGACGACTCCTGAATAAACGGCTTCCGGCATAAAATAATCCTTACGGATTAGAATATTTGAAATTATTTATATTGGGATATTTAGAGTTGGTCTTTCAAACCGACCTCATTCCCCGCTTCGCAGCTCTGAAGCCTATGTAGAAGGACGAAATTCCCCCCGATAATCACGTAATTATACCATGGCATTTAGACCTTTCTCTTCGCTTCGCTACTAGCCACCAGTTGCACGAAGCGCTACAACTTTGGAACGGGAACGGGATTAATTAATTGATCTCTCCCTCTAATCTTTTGTCTTGACCAATAGTATTGCCCAGAGAGTTCGACGTTAGTTTTGACAATTTTGAATCTTGCTCTGCACAATGGTGGCACTGCTTGCTACGTGAAGCAATATGATCTTGGGACAGATGTGGTCCTGCAGATTTTGATCCTTAATTGTGGGACCAATGGTATATGCCTTTTCTTGATATCCGATATCTTCAGAGGCCCGTTGATCTTTGCAACTTGGAACCATTTTGCAGCTTGCATGAATCCTGATTTAAAGAGCATCGGCGGGGAACCCAGCAGGATGTAGCCGAACATGCTCGTCTGATCTGCTTGACTGTGTAAAGGTTGTCCGTCTATATCACGGCGAAGCCTAAAATATTACATCGTTGCCCAAAAGTGCCAAGTTTCGCCAACTCCTTCAAGCCGACGAGGACATACCTGAGGCCGCGCGACGACCGTAGACGACGCAACTCGGACCAACACGCGGTGTGAACGTATATGCACGAAGGGGGCGTGCTGGCTACGATGTCAGATTTTGGGTAATTCGCAATGGGGTCATCCATCCATTGGATGGCAACGTCGTTTGACTGCTAGCCTAGAAGATAGTAGAATTTTGATCGCACCGTTGATGCTCCGCTGCCAAGGCACAAAAATAACACGTTCTAGACCTTGATTCATTAATGGCATCAACAGAATCCATTCCCAAATACGTGTGATTTCCTCTATTGATTCTCTAGGAAAATGAATTTCCTCGAGACATATATTTATATAATTGTTATGCAATATATATATATATATATCTATCTGGTGGTTGATTAATCATCCTTTTTATACAAAATATAAATATAGGTCCCATGGGATAAAACCAAATTTTTTTTGATAAAATAGAAAAGAATATCGCAAAATCTTGATTAAATCTTCCCATAGAAGATAAAGTTCTGAAAACATTTTTTGTTGGGTTTCAAATTGTTTTCGTTAAGAATTAACTACAAAATGCAGAATCTTCTGCAGAATACATTCCTGACAATATAATTTTCTTGATAAAGAATACCTCCTCGCAACGTAGTTGTTTTAATAAATCCTAATAGGATGATCTGTTGGCAATATAGTTTTCTTACAAAATATTAATTCAATTTATGGGAAATTTTGATATATATCAAGAAAATTGCACTGCAAATAGAGTTTTTTGTGGACAATTTTGGACCCTGTGGATAAATACCAAAAAGCAAAAACAAAAAATATGTCTTCAGAGGTTTGTCCTCTGGGGGGCTTAGTCAAAATATGTTTTTTGTGTGCGTTGTTGTTATTCTTGTATTTTTATGATATTTGTTATCATTTCTATGGAAATTAAAAATTGTAGTTATCTTTGAATATTAAAATATGTATTTAGAGATATTTCTTTTATTTTGATGGATAAATTGAAAATATTTTTAAAAAATTCTTATTGATATATTTGGAATAATGAAGATGAGATCGCGAGGATGAAAAGGAGACGGGTATAAGAAATAAATGAAAAACAGATTAAAGAAATACGGTAATTTTGTAATAGCTCGAAATTGAGGATATTAAAATATCGTTTTAGTTCTTGGTTGTCCGGGGAAGATGAAATTTTAAAAATAATGGAGGTAAATGAATCGAATATTTTTGGATAAAATATTAATGCATTTGACCAATCGATAGGAGAAAGATATTTATGATTTAATTTTGTTTAGAAGGTATTAATTTATTCGATTTAGATCATCATGGCAAAATGTTTCTCGCCAATTTGCAATATTGATTGCGACCTTAATTTATCTGTTGAATATTTCTATGGAAGATTATCGATTTATGTAGAGGTTGTAATCGATGGATGCATCGTTGACATAGTAAATACTTGGAGTTTATTCCCCTATGTGTAGCGGCGATGACGATAGAGGGCGAATGAGAATTGGCCACAAAAGCAGGATTGGGAAGCCTAAAATTGAAAAAGATTGGGTTAAAGATAAAGAAGGCTTCCAAATTGGAAGTCGGCAGCGGATCAGGCCTAGGTCCAAATAGATCCATGAATCGAAATCGGAATCTAGGATTATTGATGATAGAATAGAAGGCAGTGTTCGAGCAATGGAATCAGCAAGAGCAACCTTCCCCTCGAAGAGGCCAATTGAAAGAGAAAAAAATTAATACGAGAAGGAAGAAGAATAAAATAAATTGATCGAAATTCCAAACAATAAGGCATAGGAGGCGGTGAAGCCGAAGACCGAAAGGAAGGAGGAAGAAAGAAGGATATTTAATATCTAGGAAGACAGAAGAAAGGAAAAGGGAAGACTAAGGATAGCCGTTTTGGAGGAGCGCGAGGAATCGGTCGATAGGCTCGACGGGGAAAGATAAGAAAGGAAAGGGAAAATAATTTTTGATTAGAATGATAGAAATTTAGGATTGAATGAAAATAGTGATCATAAATTGAATTTCTTGAATTAGAAATATTTAGGTTGTTATAGCGCAGTGCAATTGATATTGAATATTCTAATTTAGATATTTGAGAGCAATGATATGATATTTATTATGGTCTATATAGCGGAAGGGGCTAAAGGAATGTCGACGATTTAAATATATCTTCCATCATGTTATTTGAATGCCGATATTGGAAAAATATTTCCATAATAGAAAATATTCACGAAATCGTTGGTGAATGGTACGAACGGATAAATAAATTAAATAAAAGATTGAAATTCTTATAATATGAAGGAGAATATTGGATTTCACCACGGATTCATAAAAAGATTATTTCTGGGCATATAAAGCGGAACAATTTTGACGTTTCAATCTCCAAAAGATTGAAATTAAGTATATAAAATCCATATAATTCATTGCCAATAGAAATATCATATATTCATATGATCAGACCAATTTCTTTCATCTATCGATATATTTGTATATATATATATACGACCATTTTCTATTATCTTTCTTTTATCTTATCAGTGATCATTTCTAAAATATTGAAAATCCTTTCGATCAAGAAAGAATTGAACAATTAATGTCAACATTTTGTCAATATTTTAGAAGATCTCCATAACTAATTCAAATATAGATTCAAGTGTTTAGTAATACAAAAACACAGAAATTAAAAATATCAAATAAAATCCTTGAAGAACAATATATCGCAAAATATCAAAATATTTATTATGGTTTTCAAAAAAGAATTGATATTCGGACACCATCAATTTTAAAAATATATGCCAAAATAAAAATCAAATAGTTAGGTTTTTTTAAGACAGATAAATAAATCCTTGTTTGTTGGCGCGATCAAAATTATCAAGCAATATATACAATATATATTGTTCAATA